CTTGACTTAAAGGACCTGTCAGGTAGCCTCCTTGACTTAGTGAATTTAAAAAGTTCTCGCGCACTAACTACCGAACATTCCACTAATTACACTACAAAGAATGGTAAATGGCAGTACTTTCACGGAGTCACAAAGGAAATGAGTGACATATTTGCTCGTTGTCAAATATTCATGGTGCGTTTTTACTTAGAAAGATTTATTAAGATACACAAAAAATATGTTTGTCTCGATGATAAACTAAAATATAAGAAAAGGAGTATATGACAGACCAATCAATTGAATCAGAGTGGCTACATACCCGACATCGGATTTTCTCAGACGATAACATTTGTCTAATTTGTAGAGTCAACACTTTTGTTAAGAGCTGAACCGAGATAACTAAATATATAAATCATAACTTCGACGAGTGATGAGTGGCGAAAACTTTAAAATCGTGACTTTAGGATGGAAGTGACAAAACGTCTCAAAGATAGGGGGCGGATCCAATGAAACGTTTAGTTTTTCTGGTCCAGGCACAGCAACGAACAACTAGAAGTGACAAGACTCCGGTAGTTACACTTTTGATATACTAGCCCTGAAAAGATGTTGAATAAACATTTATTTCTATTTGATAATAGGAAGAGAGTTGCAATTTCTGCCATTTGATCGTATTTCGCTAAGTACCATACGGTAGGTACCATAAGCAATGTATCAACGTAACAACTATACCTACTTTTAGTTTTCAATTCTTTATGATTTCGATAGTTGTGGTATCTAATGGATTGAGCAAAGCAGCATTTTTTTTATCTTCGAAGTTAAGATCTGAAAAAATCACTTCTCATTGTTTTTTATTATATCATAGGTATTTTGCTGTTCGCCCAAACAACCATTTATATCATGATAGCTTGATTATGAAAATATAATGCTTTCGAGCACATATTACATAACAGGTGAATAATTTCTGCTTGGCTTCTATTATTTTTTATATTCGTTTATATTATCCATCTATGTTATTCGATTGTTTTATTGTTTGACGTAATAGTGATAAAGAGAAAGACGACTAAAATCCGTATATAGTCTCTAGTTCTAGACCCTAAAAAAAGTCAGCTGAACAAAGTAGTTACTTCAGTAACCATATTACAAAAGATCCATCTGTTGCGATGAGTACAAGTTTATCCTATTTAGACAGCATCAGTTATAACTTCGAAGAAGCAACTTTTTGGGGCGTCTCTAGTGGTGGAAACTTCAAGCTCACCAAAGTTTAGTTTTGCTTTAAAGTCATAATCGGAAAGTAAATAATAATAATAATAATGGCTTTTATTGATGGTTCCATACAATTACAACCAATCAAATGGCAGAATTCAATATTTGCGTATGATAAATCATCGCAGAGACTACTCTTCCATCCAACAGTAAGAAGAAAAGAAAAATAAATAGAAAAAAAACCGTATGTTATCAAGAACAGTGCAAACAGTATATACAGTGAAATTGAAATACAAAACATATATCTTTTTTTTGAGCATGGAGAAATGTTGATTGATTTCGACATAATTCGATTAGTTGAATCTATTTATTGTAAGAAGATATTTTTCATCTTTCATTTGAAACTTCCTATTGGCAGATGTTTATATTCAATAGGTATTCGATTATATGAGTAGGCAATATGGTAAGTGAAAGATCCGCGAAATAGAATAGTTTTATGGTGTGATATTGTTAAATGTATCGTGAATCTCAAGTTGAGATGGTGTACATCAGTTCTAAAGGATTTTTTTCGAAAAGATAATGGGGTTTTTTCAAAGGAGTTTTTGAAAAAATGTTGCAGAATAAAATGTTCGTTTGGATTCCTTATTCAACCAACCCACATTCCCGAACAGATATAAAATATGTTCTCGTTTCCTCTTTCCTGTAAAAGGCCTAAGTCATCCATTTTGAAGCTTCTGGATTCTAGAAGTGTCACTCTTCAAAATTCCTGGACCATACACCACGTCTGCGTAGTTGGCATCTGAAAGAACTGTAGCATCAATTTTTTTCATTCAGAAATGCTCTAGTAGAATATTTTAAAACGAAGACTGTTGTCAATATAGAGGCCCAAGTTTTTTGTAACTCCTCTCAAAGGAAGTTCTGTTCCATGTATTATTGGATGCATCAACAGATGCAGGCAATATTTAGTTGACAAGGATAATAACACATTGAGATCGGAATAAATTTGCCATAGGGCCTCGTTGATTGAATTGTCGTCGAATTCCGTGTACAGTGTCGTCGGCATAACAATGCATAGTTGCAAATTGCACTGACCTATAAAGTTGAGTTGTGAATAAACCGAACAAAAGGGGGCCCATTATTGAACCTTGTGGAACATCGTTTTTAATTTGCATTGAAACAGATTTTTCGTTATTACACACAACTCTTCAAAAACGATTGCGATAGTAACTTTTAAGTAGTGCTACTGCATGCATTGACAACCCTAGGTAGCCCAAAATAGCAACAAGAAGATCTTGGTGTATACGATCCAACGCTTCTGAATAGTCCAATGATATCAGAAGACAGAGTTTGTTGATATCAACAGAGGTTGGGATTGTTTATATTATTACCCGAAAAATTCCATAATTCCATCATCAGGGGAACACTTGTAATATACTTTCAAAAAATTTGTTGAAAGAAACCTTCAACTTTCAGTTGGAATGAAATGGATTTAAAATTTCTTTTATTGTGAATATTCAAATCGAATAAATCTTTCCCTATCTATAATAATAATCTGTTTGAAAAATCTGTCTAAAATCTGTTTTTCCGTTAATCAGCTGTCGCCCCCATACGAACGACAACTCTCAGAAGTTGAGAAACTTGTGCGAGCTAAGGACTAACGAGGTCTTACCTTTTAACGTGTAATTCCTAACACGGTTGCAGAATCATCTCTCGAGAAAAATATCTGGTCGAGGCAGGAATCGAACCCACGGACTTCCGATCGTGAGTCGGGTACATTACCACCGCGACCAATTCCCCAACAATAATAATAATAATAATAGTTTTATTTCCTTAAGACAATTACAAACCATATGGAAAAAGTCATTTGTTTACATTTAAAATACAATAATACTAATACTAATACTAAAAAATTGATTTCACCGCAAATTGCCACGACAAATATTCAACCAGTTTATAAAAACACTGTTCTGCCAAAAATGATTTTGAATTATATTTGAATGATTGTTTTGTCGTGCAGTTTCTCACATTTGAAGGAAGAACCGTATGAACCATATGACTGGGAGTTTGGTGAGTTATTTTGAATTTTCCGAATGGAATTGAAAAATCATTCTTTTGTCTTGTATTGAAATTATGATTTTGTTTGTTCCTCACATAAATTTCATCATTATTGTCGAATACTAGTATACTCAACTCTGATACGACTAGACATGGTAATGTTGATATTTTCAGTTTTTCAATTATATCTTTGCATGAATCAGTCTGTGAAAGCCCCGTCATTGATCGTAAAATTCGTTTTTGTGCCACGAAGATATCTTTTGCTAGTGTAGATAAACCCCAAAATATCACACCGTATCGTAGCCTACTTTCAACTTGTGCATAGTAGAGCTGTATCAATTGATCAATATTGAGTACATGCCGCAAATTTCTAAATTGAAAGGCAATCGAATTCAATTTTGAGATTAGGTCGGAGATGTCAACACGTTCACCCGGAATAGAATCGACAGCTTCGGAATATGTGAAAACCTTTCAAAATAAAATATATGTGCTATATTCCATCGAATGGAGAAGTTGTAGTGTTTGGAATATTGAAAAATGCATAGATATCGTCAAGAGTTCCTTCGAATGCTTGATTTTTATTCGAGGCAAAATTTACATGTCTTCTTTGTAAATACTTGTGCACGATTGAGTGGCAGATGAAAACGTAATAATACTACCGGTGGAAAGATATTCCAGAAAAATAGATGTGTAGCAAATCGTAGTAATAGAGTGATAATTGTGCCAGGAAAAACAAAGAAACACATGAAGTAGTTCAAGCTCCTCACTCGCAAATTAATAAAAAGAAATGGAAATGAAATGTCGCCAAGTTTTCTACTCTTCTTAATTGATATTAACAATTGTCGCAATTCAAAACTAGATAAGTTATGATAAAATTATTGTTGGTTCAATGTTTGGCGATACAAAATGAAAAGTGTATAATATTGTGTGAAATCATAATTGTCCACTACTACTTAGGCAACCAGTGGTACACGATGCTTATTGAAAATTAAACGGCATACTATGAATAGACACATAAATAGTGACGTGCTCTGGAAATTGTGATGGTTGTCATAGTTGATTGTCTGGATTAGTTGTGCAATAAATTATCATGATTCCAAAAGTTGTATCATTAGTCTTATTTGTAACAAGTTACTTGTAACAATGTGGTGTCAGGTTACTGAGGAACTTTCGCAAGTTGGTGGGTGTGGAAGAGAAATAATGCTATTTCAAGATTGTTTTTTGATTCTCGATTGGACCTTGTTTGCTGATTGAAAAAAAGCGTGCCGCTAGTACTGTCAAAAATTGAAAGCTGTTTCAAACCACTCAAACCGCTTGTAATACATGGGAATGTTTCAGAAGACTGTAGATTTTCCCAAAAAATTGAAGTGTTTTTGTTGCTAGTTGGAGACGACGACCAAGACCACTGTGGTTGGCAAAGAAATGTCATATTTGAGAGAGTTAGGTTCAATATGATTGAACAGAAAAAAAGACAAACATTTGATAATTTTTTGACTGAACTCAGAAACTGACCGATTACCTTAATCAGAAAAATATGATTCGTTACAGAATAATCTTAGGGTTAAGATATAGTTCCAACAAATTCGAAAAGTGAGTTTGAAGTTGATGGCCTGAGAGCAAGTACATCCGTTGCACAGTCAAGAATGCAGAATTACAAAAATCAGACTTGTAACAATAGTGGAATATACATAAGTTTGTGAAGAATTATCCTACTGACGGAAAAACTTGTGTCAGATATCAACGTCATAAAAATGTTGGCAGAGTTTGTGCTGGTAAAAGTAGAAGGGAGTCACACACATAACAATCAGTAACAGAGAAAAAAAATCTATTTATTGTCATAAGAAGATAGTCACAGTTAAGTAGTTAATCTGAAAGTGATAACGAATTGAATGGGAGTGTCGTTGATTCCTTGAACAAATCCAAATATGCTAACACGGAAACGATATGAACTAAGAATGTGTTAGTTAATGGTTATTTTCAAACTTGATACTGGAGCTGAGGTGAGGACTACAAAAAGTATCTTCTAATCACCATCCCAATTGAGAATAATCACTACATTTTTAGTACATGATATGTATTATGCTTTACAACTTTGACCAATTTAAAGGGTTCAGTTTCGAAAAAGAAGAGCGTGAAGTGGAAGTTTACTTTTTGCATAGTTACAAAATGCTTTTTCAAGCACCATGAACCCAACAATTTTTTTAATTTTTCATGAGACACATTTCTACAAGGAATACTTTTTTTCGTTGAACCGTCTGAAAATGAGGATTTATTTGTTTGAAAATTAATTCTTTCACTCGTGAATAGGTTGAAAATTTCAAACTTTCAGAAATAAACTTCATAGAACAGATTCACTTGATGATTTATTTTCAGTGAAACATTTTTCAACTCGGATGTCATCAAACCCCAGGATAGAAACAAACCCCGGTGAAGAGTCAACTTTGAAATGGAAGGTGGGTAGAATTCAAATTCAAATTTTTGTGGAAATCGGTGCTGTTTGGCTAAACTATCGCCCTATTTTATCATTGATGATTGAACTTAAATAGAAGCATTGTTAATCCATGGACGGCAAGAAAAAGTCCAACTAGTCATTCAGATTCGAATTCCACTCTTTTTCTTATCGAAAACTGTCTAAAAAATCTCATTTCGATAACATTGTTTCAACACTAAGGGCTATTTTCACAAGCATCAAGAATGGACTTATCAACTGATTATCAATATTCACCAGGAGTATCATGATATGAAATTGAATATTACCGTCTTTAGAAATATGGTACCAGAATGATTGTGATCACACATTGATAGATGAGTCACCTACCTCTTTCGGCTCAAACGCATTCATCAGAAAAGTTTTCGAACTACCTTCAGAATCAGGATTCGCATAGAGATCATCTATATTTTGATGGGTAGAATCGGAGAACCTCCGACTCGAAATGAATCTATGAAAAACTTGTTTCCCACAACAGAACAAAAGTAGGTTAGTACTGACTCTCAAAGTGCTCTTCTCTTTCCGAATTATCATCATCAGGAGATGACTAAAACTATTATAGATATCTCGTGATGATGCAAACTTCGTTAACGAAACTTTCATCAATTGAATTGTTCTGATGTATTAAAGGTATTTTCATTAGAATCAAACATATTCATATATTAGGTATTATCATGATTAGGATATATCAGCAACAGATATTTTGTTTATCTCAAACTGCTGTTGGGCTACATTTCTTTACAAATATTATCAAGTCGGACCTGGAATGAAAGGAATACAAAAGGAACAACAGTCGCATATATATTTTCCTTCTGAATACTCAGAAGAGGGTGTTTCACTTTATAGACCATGTATCAATTTTGAAAGATTTAGGGGATTGCAATTCAAATTACTGATTATTCTTTTATGCGGTGTAAAAATGCAAAACCCAAAGAAATACATTTCTTGAGTGACTATGCAAATGTGCGGCTTTCCTCAAGATAAGTTGCTTTGGGAGTTATAAACCGATGTTTCTCGGATTTTATCTTGATAACGTTATTTTGATTCCAAACACGATTTCTCCATGAGATGAAAATCATATTTGCCTTAGGGAAGTTGACAGAGAGAAGGTTCAAATTCAAACATAACATATATTTTTAGGTATTTTCATCTGAATCCTGAAGGAACATAAAGGAATAGTGTGGCTTCAATATTATTTTGCGATTCCAGGTGGAGTTCCGCAATTTTTTACTAAATATTTTATTTCAGGTTATTTTACTGAATCACTGATGGGGAATCTTATGACAATTGCGAATTAGTATTTTAGAAAACGAGAAATACCAAGTGATTCACGGTGGATGGCACATTAAACGTTTCTGGTGAACTGGATAAGGAATCACTTTTGAAATTCAATGGAGAGCATAGTAAGATATTCTCTACCCAACAAAATATTTTCGACGAATAGTAGTTGCCACTTCCATTAGAAAGTAGCAGCAATTTCTCAAATGGAACATCCTTTATATAATATTATTATCAAAATCGATAACAATTACACGACAACTTTTCCCGGTACTTCCCAAATGCTGATATTTTTGAGTGAAGAAGTGGTGCTGAAATTTGGTTTGAAGTTGGGTGACACTTGGAGGCTTCCCACACTGCAGCGTAATCTTTGTTACTTCAATACAGGATGGTAAAAAATACAGTATTTACGTTTGCAAATTACTAATTCAGAAAGTTGTTAAAATATGCTTTCTTCTTATGTATATCATACCTATACCTAACTAGTCAAGTTTCGGACTTATGAACATTTATTTGTGAAAATGTTCCTTCAGAATGATATTCCCATTCGGTATTTTGTAAGCAGGCCCTGATTATACTTTCACATTCTCCTAATAATATTGACATTTTCGTTACTTCAGAAGTTTCAAATACCTTTAAAACAATGGAACCAAATGAGTCGAAAGAAGTTCTTATGAATTTGTTTATTATTTTTGGACAGTGTGATAAAATTATAAGCAGAACATGTAGAAAGTTCAACGAAAGGTATCCGAATCTGTCGCTGATGAAACTCAATGAATTTTTGCGAGTTTAGATCAATTTCAATAATATGTTTGGGTAAATTTAAAATGAACATCTTGCCAAACCGTTAGTGTTGAATAGTAATCATGGCCTTCTTTCAAAATACCAATTGAGAATACTATTCTGAAGGGACATTTTCACAAATAAGTCCGAAACTTGACTATTTGCGTATAAGCACGATATACATAAAAACAAAGCAAATTTCAACAGCTTTCTGAATTTGTAATGATACACAGCGTGTTTTTTTTTAAATTATCAACTTTCAGTCACTTTTTCAACTAAACGAAAAAAATTATTTATTATCACCTTGTATTAAAGTTACAGAGATTACGTTAAAGTGTGGGAAGCCTCCATGTGTCACTTAACTGCAAATCAAATTTTGGTACCATGTTATTCCGTAACTCAAAATTATCAGTATTTTTAGAGGACACGATTTCCGAAGAAAAAAATTGAAATCAATTAATAATTAGAAAACGATAACAGATAGAGAAGTGAAAATATCAGGAGAAGTTATCAAGTAATTGTTGTAGACTCCAAAAATAATATGAATATGTGAATCAATTGAAAGTCGCCAATACAATGAACAGATACTGCATAACCTTAACTTATGATATACATAACCTCATGATAATAAGACAACAAGTCTTCATAAAAATTCCTCCTTGAACACCAATAATTTATATATGATATCCAGAAATCTCGGGATCATAATCGGAACTGATTCGTGTAATAAAGTATTTTCAATTCGAATGGAAACGTTTTTCTTAATTTCAATGAAATCGAAAAGAATACGCGTCGTGTTAGTGATCCGACTAGATGCGTCAAGGTGTTGAAATAACGGTTTGGTGTTGGCAAAAACTCCAGTAATATTTAAATACGACTATAATCACTCACGTACATATTCTGTTAATATATTCAAACATTGTATTTTCAAAGAAATATTCTTGATGAAACTTCTCGTTATTCAGGTGATACAATTTGTTTAATTTGAAAATTGATATTTTAATCTCACATCGATACATTCAACTGAGAATTGGTGTGAACTCAAGAGTTTGCTCATTCAGATTTTAGAAGCTGAAAACAGTTTTCTTACGCTCTTCATTGTAATTTCTTGCTGATGGTCTGCATGGCCTATTTCAAATGTTTCCAAATTCTACAGCTACACGCATAGTTTTATGAACAGTACCTCTACAAATCAGTACTATCAGACTAATGATCCTTTGTGTGCTCATTTTGTTTCTTCTAATGAAAACTGTTTACACCAGGATAAATGTATTCTCTGTTTATACGAGCTTTCCTAACCAAGTATAACCAGCTGATGTTTTTTTTTTATCTCTTGCTGACTTTAAGCCAGCGCCAGCGCTTCAAATTTTACCTATCGTCTTTTGTTTAGGTTTAGGATTTGGAATACTGATTTCATAGTTTGATTCAGAGTTTTTATTTGCACACCATCAATTCAACAAATTTTTTAATGATGTTAAGTACTATTAGATAAAGAATCAATATTCGTTCTGGTAGGTCGTGGTTGAATGAAACTGATTGACAGTCGTTGCGGAGACTTCGAGATAAAACTTTCGTTCTCGCGGTCAACGCTCATACCACTAATAATTATTAAAGTAGCAGACGAAACGCATGATGGTACGTCATATTCGATTCGACCACGACCTATCAGCACGGATTTTATTTTCCAAATCGTGACTCCGGCCGTGAAAGCTTATGTTCTTAAATGCTGTTAAATACTAATGCAACAAACATGAAGTTGAAGGCTATGTAGTTTCAAGTGAATTGTACTGACATGCTTCAGTTTGGAAGAAATTGGTTACGCTGTTGCAAGTCCATGGACATGCAATGATTCAGAATATTGCAAAAGTCATATGGAATTAGGTCATGACCATGACTTTGAATTTCAGTATAACTTTAAATTCCGAATATCTTTTCCAAACAACATTTTGTTTTAGTTACGAAATAAATGTACCTACTTCATTACTGAACAAATTCAAGGTTTTTTATCGACTCTGTATGCTGTTATTGCTGTTTGATTTGAAGTTTGTTCATTTGCATCCAATATAGTTATCAAACATGCACCAGCATTCAAATTTCTAAGACACTTAATGGAAAAATCATATTTATTGCAAATAAAATGGAAGACACTGTTTACAGTGCGGAAGTAGAAAATTCCCAATCTTAACTCTTGAACACGACAAGGTATCAAGGTCGAATGAAGTTTACGAATAATATAACAAGGATTGCTTGCAGCTGATCTGATCTTCGGCTTTTTCATATCATGTGAATAATTTTTGTATTGTATAACTCATTTGAGTATTTCAGTTGTCCATCCCACACTTTTTTATTTTTAGAAATTAAATTAGCCGTATCCGTTGATCAACAGGTTAATATTCATTTTGAAAATCTGCAAACAAACGATAAATATCATATCGAAAAAAAGTATCAAAATCTCACTCCATCACTCCATTCCAATAAATGTTCACCATTCAGTCCCTGATGATAAAAAAGTCAATTGATAAATTATTTTCCTGCTGATGAAATGTTCACGGGGTGATTTCATTGCAATTATTTTTTTTTCATTAACTAGTTCTGAAATGAACTGGGTTGTGTATAGTACTGTTGTGAATCATGCCCGAAAGAAAATAACGCCGGCTGCCGTAGCCATAAACCAGGTGTGACGTGGCTAAGAACGCGCGAGTGCACGATGATACCCTGCCAATCGAGAAACAGGGAGAATAATGCTACCGACTTCGACAGAACTTCGTAAAAATTTTGACAACATTCGATTACGATATTCAAGGCTAGCCACGAGGATATCGTGACAGTCAAGTGGATGTTACAGTACGGTACACGAAGTGATCTAGGAAGGCGATAGACATTCAAATGATAGTTGAAATTTAGTTGAAGTGTTCGTTGTATTTAAAGTGGAATAAAGCTAAGTTCGATTATTCAGTGTAGTCAATTAGTGGTCAACCCACAGGGAAAGGAGTGTCGATTACGACGAGATAGAAGAGTTTAAGAAAAAGTTCGAAGTTTTGCAAGCGACTTGGCGGAGAATGAAAAACGCAGAAGAGAGGAAGATGAACGCAAGAGAGAGGAAGATGAACGAAGTAGAGAGGAAGAACAATTACGCCGAAATGAAGAAGATGAACGACGGTGGAGAAAAACTGGCCACGAGGATATCGGGACATTCAAGTGTCAAGAAAGGCGATGGACACTCAAATGATAGTTGAAGTTTAGTTGAAGTGTTTGTTGTATTTATAGTGAAGTAAAGGTAAGTTTGTGTAGTTCAATGTAGTCAACTATTGGTCAACCCACGGGTAAATGTAACTGTACACTTCATATATCACGTATTAAAAACACCTAGGGACGTTATATCAGGTGATCTAGTGGGCTCTTCTACATCTACCTGTCTACCTGTTAATTGAAAAATTCACAAATCCAAATAAGTTTGTAACCGATGTTTCGTTTCAGCAAGATGATATTTCTCTTTATTACAGCAGGCTGGTTAGAAAGTCGGTAGAAAACAATCATCCAAACTGTTGGATAGGCAAACGTTGTCTATTAGAAAGACTCGCTAGATTACCTGATATGACGTCCTCACATTTTTGTGAGGATTCCTGAAATCTAAAGTGTACGTTACACAACCGCAGTATATTCCAGAGCTCATGGAAAAGAATAAGAGGTGCTCCTAACGAAATTACTTCAGAAACATTCCATAATGTAAGAAATGAATTTGAAAAAAACTCAATTTTTGTCAGGAAGTGAAAGGTAATCATTTTTTTTAATGAACTGAAGTGAGTTTTGAACACATTTTTTCTTGAGATTTTGATATTTATCGTTTGTTTGTAGATCCGTCAAATGAAAATAAAACTGCTAATTACTCAAGCTGATTTTATTTCCATAAACAAAAGTCGGATATAGAATTGAAAAACACCCTTTCTGTTTGAAAACAAAAGTTGATAGCGATGAGTGATGCAACACTGTGGTCTATTTTTACCAAAAAGTACTGAAAATGATACCTTTCTACGTAAATTTTTTCCGACCTCGATAATTCGTTCGGTCGGTAGGCGAGCGGTTCGACATGGATGCTTTGTTCACTCAGTCAATCGGCCGTTGTGTGAGTCGATGGTTCAAGCCCCAAGCTGAACGCTCGATTTCCACTTACTATCATCCAGCCCGTGTTAGGAATCACACGTTAAAAGGTAATACCTCTTTAGTCCGTAGCTCGCACAAGTTTTGACTTCTAAGGGTTGTCGTTCGTAGGGGTGCGATAGCTGGTTAACGGAAAAAACATATTTTAAACATATTCAGAAGTTGCTGTATAAATAAAGTATAAAGTAAAGTATAAATGAGATCTGCAGATAGTTGCACGGTAAAACAAATTCATTTATACTCACTAAAATACAAAATTTCGATAAACCACTGGCAACTTCATTGGTTGAAAGTTATGCCGTATAATGTTATTATCATGGACATAAACAAATGGCGTTGAAGAAAATGAATGCTACTAGTTTGTATTACCATTTTTCAAATTCAAAACAGTAATATCAATTTACTTGAATGAATATATTCTAAAATTTTGTTTATTCTATTTGAGAATATATTTGTACAATCAATAATTACTGGTGAAAGAACATAGAAAAATCCAAATTCAATTTATTCGTAAAAAAAATTAAAAATTAACTATAGTAGCTGTACCATATAGTATTGCATAAACTCATTGAAAACACATCTCTTTATTTACATCGAACTAAACAGTTATATACATTTTCATATATTCCATGAAAATCAGCGACACTAAGATAAAACGCAATGCAGATGCACCTTTCGATTTCAATCAAAACTTTTCCCTTTAATCATTGAGACTTTTGTAATTTTTAGAAGCTCTTAAAATTCACTTTGTTAGGAGTCTAATAGGATTTGGCTGGTAAAAGGATTATGTCCGCCTGCATTAGGTTCATAAAAACAAAATAAAAATTTTGTTCACTTTGAAATCACTCTCTTCCGTTGGCGTTGTGAGAAAATTTCGATATAATTTTCACTTGGCGAGGTCGACAATGTAATTAGTTTACGGAGCCTTTGTGCTCTTTTATAGCAAACTCAAATCAGCAAATAACTGAGAAACGGAGACTGAACAAAGCATTCACTGTATAACAGATAATTTGAAGAAGGACATTCAGTAGTTAATATTTTCATATATAATGATGTCTTACATGACTGTTGAACTATGTCAACGACAATTTCATGTAAAGAAAGTTCTATAGCATGTTTTTCCACTTCCCTGAATTCAATAGAATCAGATGAAAGTAGATCCCAAAAAACAAGATGAAATCTAGAGCTTTTGAGATTCGGACTCATTCAGTTAAGATCGCTTTGTTGGCGTTTCAAGAAAAGGATTTGTCATGCTCAATAAAATGAAATACGAAACAAAATTTTGGAATAAAGTTGTGCTGGACAGAATATATTGATGAAATATTTCACATTATTCCCTAATTTCATCTTCAAAATTTTCAAAAAAACATCTACTCTACTATCAGTGCCCCTTGATGTTCATAATAAATTCAAAATTTTCAAAAATTGAAACTGACTCCAAATAAATATTACTCTTCAACGCTTCAGTATATTGAGCGATGATTTTATATGTCACCCATTTTTGAAATAATGAAATCGCGAAACATTAAAGTCTACTGAGTGATTTTCGATTTTGAGGCTTACCTGATCATTTTTGTTTGTGGTTTATCAACTTTTTCAAAAACCCCTTATTACAAGTACCCACTGATTGTATTCTCTAGGATATTTTGATTATCATCGCTGGTGGGATTTATATTGTTTTTTCACCAGTATACACCAATGACATAATGAAAAACACTAGCAGTGATATGCTCATTCAACATTCAACTTTGTTGAAAGTTTGGAAAAACAGTGATCGATTTATATTTGATAGTGAGAAATAAAAAATATCTACTTTTTTTCTATATGGTACCTTGACACCGAAGCAATAGCTTCTGTTTGAAAAAAATCTGTTCAAAATCTGTTTTCCCGTTAACCAGCTGTTGCCCCCTTACTAACGACAACTCTCAAAAGTATAAACTTATGCGAGCTAAGTACTAACAAAGTCTTACCTTTCAACGTATGATTATTAACATGGGTTGGACGATAGAAAATGAAAATTGATCGTCTGGCCTCGCGGTTTGAACTACCGATTCACACAGCGGTCGACTGAGTGAGTGGAGCAAACCACCCACGTCAACGCAAACGGCTACCGTCCTACCTAGCAAACGTAGCTTTTCAGGAAGTGCAAACTTCACAATGTACAAATCGGCCGTCGTTTGCGATATTACTCATGTAAATGAAGTTGAATCTCTGAATATACACTGATATTGAATTTAATCCAGTGAAGAGGCATTTACCTGGTTGGGTATTGATATATTAGAAGTAACCTTGAAAATCTGAAACAAAGGAGAAAGATGATGACATGTCTTTTCATTGTGAATCATTTTACGCGAAGTTTTCAACTGACTTAGCTTCCTTGACTCCTGAAAGCGGTCTGAAATATACGGTAAACTATAGTTGCATACTGCTCGAGATTTCTTCTAAATATATTTCAAACCACATCTACTGAAAACTCTTCCATGTCAGTGATAAACTCTCCGTGACATACTTTCCAGATAATATAACGGTGAGTTGAATCCAACGGAAATAATCACTTTTGCACCGATCATCTGAAATAATTTTCTGCAATGTTGTGCATCAAAACATCTCAGCAGATTTATAATTTTCGTTCTACAGAAATTATTCTGAAACAAATGAATTTTGTTCAGCCTCATTCATCGAATTCAGAAAGTTTGTTGTTTCATTAATGTAACATTAAATAGTTATAATTTGACTTTTTCAGTTACCAAATTGAGATAGTTGCTGAAGTTTCCCGAAGTTTCCGAAAAAAAAGCCGTTACAAATTACTCTACAAGGCACAGGGTCGATCATGATACTTTTGTCATGTCATCTCTTTATAAACACAGTGGAGTATTTGTTGTTGTCTTCCAGTATGAAAGTATACGAATCAGGATTTTTGTGGCTACTTTGATATAAAAAACCGTGTAAGTAATGAATATTATATTTATGATACTTCAATTCCAGTACATCTTTCCAAAGCTTTCACTTCCAAGTGACATATCTGTTTTACATGTGTGAAAGTACAGATTTCAAACATTGATGGTTGATTTTTGTTCTTTTTTCAAGTGAATTGGTGCCATTCAGCTTGAAGCCAGGTTTTCCTTTATGTGACATGTTGAGATGATGAGATTCCTCACCTAATTTTTCAACTCCTCATCTACTAGCACATAAATATACCATCACCGGAATTATGTATAAAATATCAAAAACTTAATTTTCAAACGTATTCCAAAAACACTTTATTGTGAGATTTTCACTAAATTGTTTTACAAAAACGCAACACGTGTTTCGCCATACAATGGCTTCATCTGGCGTGTCTTTCAACTAATTCTACTAATTTTCAACTAATTAGTTGAAAAATTTGTTACAAACAAATATTGACCAACGTTATATTTTTTTTTTAATAACGAAAAACTAAATACCATTTTTTTAACTTATTTTGTTAATAACAATTGCAATTTTTTACCTGCACCAAAATCCTGCAAAAACATTTTTCTAGAGGTGATTTCGAATCGAATGAGCTATCGCTCATATTTTTAGGACCTTTATCTCTATTTTGAATGTTTTTGAACTTGTTGATTAGACTATACCTATGTTCTGGTTTCAATTTCTTATTTAGCACTGAACGCTGCAGAGGAAGACAGAGAATGTATCTGTTTCGGCTGTCGATGTCGAAGTAGCGGACCGGTTTTGAGTTATATTTATCATTGATATTTATGGAATGAGTATTTTTTGGTCACACTATTATATTTTCGATTTTTGTTTCAGGGCAAATCAGGGCAATCAAGATGCGCCAGACCCAGATGCGCAACAATCTAAGGGAGCCAAACTGACTGAAAACAGCCAAATTAAATGTTTTGTTGAAACATGGGACACATTCTCAGTATTTTTTTATAAAAAGAACAACAGTGACACAACTTGGCGTTGAGAAGTCACTATCAATTTTTTTTTATGAGAGTGATTGTAACGAGAATTGAAAGGTATTTCAATTCTCTATACAATGATCTTCACTATTTATAATTTCGATAACCAGTTGCGGAGTAATTGATGTTTGAATTTGAGTAAACAATACTGTTTGTTGGTAACCACGTGATTTAGCGTCACTTATCACGGCCATTTCACAGCAAGTGCGATAACATGAAAATAATTAACTGACAAGGGATGTCAAAATGTGTTTTTATAGAAATACTAAATTTATCTATTTTATTTGGAAAACAGGACACGACAGGACAGGACAAAAAACTTTGTATATTTGTGTTAAAACAACTTTTATTTTGTTCGTGAAATTGCTCTACTCGCTACGCTCGTTTCGAACTTTCTCACTCACAAAATAAAACCTTACTTTTAATACTCATATCATAAATAGCTATTTCAATGCCTAGCCGTTGAAAATTCATCTGTCACCTCTATGATCGATATATGTAGCTGAAACTGACGTTTATTGTCAATCGAAAAAAATATATTTGTGTTGCTGTTAGAAGTATAGGAACAATATTTTTGGTCCAATATTTTTGGCGGTATTCGTTGGTACCCTGTTACATTATTCACAGTACAGCTTGAGATCGCAAAGTTTACCTTTTCTATTCCTTACAAGTATCTTGATGATTTCCGAGATTCGATATTGAATCTATTTCGTATTGTATTTTTCAGGTTGAAAATGATATAATTTCAGTAAATTCATCTCGCCTTCATTATAAACAACGTATTCATCATTCCCTCAGAGATTTCAACAGGGGTAAATTAATAAATGACTAGAGCCGAATTCTAATGATGAATTATTACCGCTCTAGAATTTGGACCAGTAGTAGGCTAATGTATTAACACTTCTATGTGTACCTTAACACCACCTCCTTCCTACCTAAAGGCATTAATGAAACCCTTTCAAAATACAAACTGTTTATGAGTCTTGGTGAAACATGACACCTAAATCTCAATTCAACTAACACCTCATGGCAAACACAGTTGACGACTAGTTTACTTTGCTGGCATTCAACTTTCCCAGCAAATGTTTAGTTTAGGGCGAAATGGGAAATTTATGTTAAAATACGCTAACAGGATGTTGTTGACCCAAAGTTTTAGCCCTGCCATATATTTTTTCCGGTTTGCAAGTCGACTGAATTCTGAGAGTTTGAGTGATATAGTGAACTACTTCCATAGACGCAAGGATGACAATAAAAATAATTATATAGACAGAGCAGTATACAGTGTGTATACCTAAGATGGAATAGAATCCGTTTTCACACGACCCAATATTTTTTTTAAAACCTTTGGTCGATATTTATATTTTCAAAAATATACTTTTCACATGAAATTTCCCAACCTTCCATACAGATCGAAAGCTTTAAAATTTTATGTGCGAAAAGAGCGTTGGGTTGTACTTTCAAATACTTATAATTTTCATTAAGAAAATTCAGCAAAAAAACATGTAGGTACGTCTTATATCGCGAATCTTTATTGAAAAAATACTCTTAGTATTTAGTATTGTAATAAATAAGAGAAGGTGCATTTTGATGTGGTTATTGAACTTTCAGTTCAGTTAAGGCTCTTCCGTAATTGACAAAATGTAATAAAAAATTTAATATTTTCTTCGATTCACGATGAACTGAAAGACTATGTTAAACAAAAAATAACGAAAAAATATTCCGATAGAGATAAATTCGTTGAAGGGTTTGAGGTACCCCAAACTGAAACATTTTTGTTCCATGTTCTACAGATAAAGTGTGAATATTTCCTTAATTTTCGTTTCGTGAAAGATGTTGAAACAGTCTTCAATGATATATCGAATTAATTTTATTTTTCTATTTCAATTCATTGTCAGGACTCTTCCAATTAGTTGTGAACCAGTTTTCAAATAAATTATCAGAAGTCAGATAATTGTCTAAATGTCGCATTTAACTTTTTTGACGTTCCAAATTAATGCTTTTTTTTATTGGGTATGTTTTTTCAGGGTGAACGTTATTTCTGTTGAGCGATACGTCCTTCCGAAGGTTCCTCGGACACAGGAAGAAAAATCTTCAGACACGGAAATTTGTTACGAAACTATTTCACAATTTCAGTAAGTCGTTGTGCAAATATACAGGGTGTCCCTTATGAAACTTCACTAGCAGATATCTGGAAAATTGAAGAGACTATCCATATTACGTGAAAGCAGATTATTTTGATGTCAAAGAGTCCTCTTATTTACGTAGAGATCCAGCACTAGGCGTTGGGGCGTCGCGAGATCGATGCCAATTTTTTTAAATGGTAATCCAGTGTTTTCAATTGGTTTTTGAATTCTGCATTAAATTCTGAGTTCAGCCATATAGCACACTTTCAGTTTCCCTTGAATAACGATGAAAATAAACAATTTTATTGCATATTATAAAGAGGGTCATGAATAAGTCAAAATAAATGCAATAATACGAGAAAAAAATCCATAAGTTATAATTGCATCACCTGTTCAGTTTCATCTAGCTGTGTATTTTTGTGAAATCGCAAGAAATACAAACTAAAATAAATGTTTCAAATTACCAAATAATATTTTACTTTGGCCATAATTCGACCAACATGATAATACATAAAACAATTAGTAACAACATGAATCATCTTAGTAAATGTTCGAATTGTCTTCCTTCACGTAGAATACAGATATTGCATTTTTTTTAGTAATTCTCGATTCGTGAGAGCTGAAAGCGTCTCTCACTATATGGAAGTACAAACATTTGTGAAAATATTTTTTTAACCCTATACTTTATTTGGACGTGGCATAAACTGAATATTTGATATATCCCCAAGAAAAAAAAATATAGTGGAATAAAATCTGGACTTCCAGCTAGTCATGGTAGTGGATCATTGTTTCCAATCTATTTATCATCAAGTGTCATCAAAATATTGGGTAACTATTCTATTATTATGCGGAGGTGCCCCCAACTTGTTTAAACCACATATTCAGTTGAGTTTGTATTGGTAAATGTATTGGTAAAGTAGCTCTCCACATTGAGAATTCATTCGAGAAAATAGGGTCCTATCAAATAACCATCAATGATCCCGCACCAAACATTAACTCCACATACAGATTGAAATCTAGTTTCTTGCATCCAATGAGGGTTCACGTCAGACCAATAGTGACAATTACGTTTGTTTATTATACCGTTGTTATGGAAACGGCTTTCATCACTCCATAATATTTTATTCAGAAGCTGATCATCATCATGAATACGGGTGGACGACCATGCAATGAAGTTCAATCTTCTGTCGGCATCTCCTGAATATGGGAATAGAAGATAGTTATTGAAAATGAAACATAAAGATTATCACCTTGATGCAGTCCTTGAACCAGATGTATTTTGTATGGATGGAATTTGTTTTTTGACAAAATAAAATACGATGTATTGGCGATTTCGAAATATCACAATACATTGCTACTTCTGGTGGAATTATGTGGTTCCAATACCTAGCACTGCAACAGTGTGCCTTTTTTTTTCACTTCCGTTCATTAAAACATCCATGTTGAGCCAGAGATATGGCTACTGGCTGACAGTAATCTTCTGTCAGGATACCGATTAGCGTATATTCTTACTGCTTCTTTTGAATTTCTTCTTGCTTCGCCGTAAATACATATCATATCAAACTATTCTTCATTTGAAAATTAAACTATTTTTCAATTTTACCAAAAACTGACATAAAACTGAGTACACTTTCGTCAAACCTGACAGATTTTCTGACAGTTATACGTTATTGCATTTATTTTGGCTCTCTTTATTAAATGGCTCTCTTATAAAATGGAATAGAATTGCCTTTTTTCATCAGTATTTAAGGAAAACTACAAGTGTGCTGAATTCAGAATTAGATGCAGAATCTAGAAACAAATTGAAAAACCTGGGTTAACGTTTGAAAGAAATGGCGTCGACGTCGCGACGTCCCAACGGATGATGCCTAGTGGACGCGAATAAGAGAATTCTTTGATATCAAAATCCTCTGCTTTTACGAAATATGGATATTCTCTATTTTCCAAATTTTAGCCCGCGAAATTTTATATGGGACACCCTGTATACAGATAACTGATACAGAGAACTTTTATAAATATCTTGAAAATATAGAAACTTGATCTAAGCAAGAGAAGGAATGAATCTGAAAAATGGAAATGTTCATGTTTCTTATACTGTTTTTTAGGTGCATAACCTTCCACTTCCACTGAAAAATCGAATTAATCAGTAACTGGTTCTCATAAATTTTGCTTCCAAATTGAATATCTATTAAAAAAAAAGAAATTTCTATACTCAGCTCTTTTTGGATGGTCGACGTTGCGGAAGACGATGCTTTCGACATTTCTTTCTTTCGACACACGTCAACAGAAAGAAATGTCCAGACTTCATATGCAATAGTCTACATGAGTACATATATTGGATGTTTTTTAGGAATTCAATTTATTTATTAGGTTTCTTTTTTGGTTTTGAACCTCTATCCTTAGCTATGGCAACTAGGTATGACGAATTTCCACGGAGGTATTTGGAATACACTTATTGCCTGGTAAAAATATTACAGATTCTGACAGTTTTCTGACTTCTTCATGAGATTTCTTAGTGACAATTTATGTTTCACTCCGTTATCTCCGCAAATCTACCCCCTGAATTATATTTTATTTGATGTTATTCCAACAAAAGATTGCGTAATACTCGTTTTGGTATGACTGGAGTAGGTACATTATCTATTATTCAAATCAAGATAGTGGTTAGCAAGTGACTTATCATCAAGAATACCTTTCTCAATAGTAGCATTAATAAATAAGTAAAACAGGTAATCTTCGAAAGTCGCCAGGAACAAAAAACAACAAAAATGTTCAAATGTTATTTGGAATTGTATGGAATTTCAAGAGCAAATCACATCGCACTCACATGATCACCATCGCCTTTTCAAAATGTTAAAGATCCATGGAAATTCCCTTCAAGTAAAGTTTCGAGTTCATTTGGAATAAAATAGATGAGTTATTAAAAGAAATCTTCCTATGATTTTGTAGGCTATATATTTAACCGTCGTGTGAGTTGAAAGTTTCAATGAGAAACGGTTTACATGAAAAATACATACACTCCTGATGATACATGTAGCATGCAATTGTATTCTAAATACCTGCATTAACATTTTGCAAACACTATATCACCGCGAAGAATGGTGCTGACGTTTAATTTGTGTACCTAATTGAATTCCGTCCCCTTTTTAAATCAAAAACCTCCCCATAGAACTGTAATCCTCGTCTTTTATTTCCTTTATTAGGATGTATAAATATGAAGTAGGGTGCAAGTTCAGGATATAATTGCTTATTTAGGCGGTGTTCCTATGACTAAACGGTGATTCATAGATACAATTTTAAGTAAATTTTTGGAAACTCGTAGTTGAAATGGCTTTGCATTGGAGTTGAATTCATTTAAAAGAATTAGGGAGAACTATTGAAATACTCATAATTCATTGATATTTGAAGAATTTTATGATGATATATTATTTCATTTGAAGAGCATAAATATATCATTAATAATATGTAGAAACAATGTTTTTCCCCGTTAACTAGTTGTCGCTCTATCAGACAACAGTCCACAGAAGTCAAATTTTGTGGCAAGCGGAAGATCAACAAGGTCTTGCCTTTTAACAGGCTATACCTAGCACGAGTCGGTAGATACGCAGTAAATATTGATCGGTCCACTGTGGGACTGAACCTACGTTCACATAACGGTTGATAAAATGTGTAGAATGATACCTCCACGTTAACCGACCAGCTAACTCATTATTAATAGCCTGATGTATATGGGAAGGTTTAATCTTGATATTCTTGAGATATTTTCATGTCTGGAGGGTTACAAGAAGGTTGCCATGATGTATAATATTTCGTTACAAAAATTAGCTGAAAGTAACAATTATATTAAACAAAAAATCACTGAAATGAAATTACAGTGAAATAAAATACAAGTAAAAAATATAAAATTTAATTGAAATGAAATAATAGTGAAATAAAATACAAGTAAAAAATATAAAATTTAAACAAAATATAAAAATAAAAAATAAAAAGATCCCAAACTAACTACTAGCTAAGTAACTAACTACTTTATGACGTTTCGAATGTTAGTATCCACAATCGTCTTAGGGTGATGACTGGACTAACTTCTCCGAGAGATGACTATTTATGGGTCATTCGAGTACTTTCACTCACCTCCTCTTTTCGCATACAGGTTGACCAACAATGTTTTCAGCCAAGCTAGCGTAGATATACGCAACATATGGAAACCCATAATCAAGCGAAAAATGGCCAACTTCCGCCAAACGGTGAAGAGGAAAGAGAAGATGAGTGAGATTGATTCAATTGTTCGATTTTTTACTTGTAGTTTTTGTCACTGTCATTTCATTTCAGGGGTTTTTTGCTTTCAGCCATTCTTTATAATTTTTAATTTCTATTACATAGTTCTTTTTTTCTGGGATTTCAAATCATTTTATATATTATTAGACAGTGGAAGTCCGAACTAATGAAATTCTTCATTGGTTTTTGTTTCTTTCACTTCTAATTTCTGTTTCTAATATTTATGCATGAATTGTATATATGATAAAGTAAATACTTTTGTCTAATTTCTACTAAGTTTAATATTTTTTACTACTGGTTTCGGTTTGTTCGACCATTCTCTAGTAAATTGAATAATTTGATTGGTGCCTTCTTGGTGATGTAAGTTGATGAGTCCAAACCCAAGTCATTTATTTATTTGTATACAAACAGACCAAAGGTCTAATTATATGGATAATAAATATAAGAAAGTCTTCACATTTCAATAATTTATAAATCATGCAAAAAATCGATAATAACAATATATGTAAATTAGCTTATGGATAGAAAATCATATTCATGAATAGATGAAAATACTAACCGAAATCACAATGTGTACATGTCTCACGTTGATGTTATAGATTTAATAAACATTTCAATATTTCGGGACTTGGGACTAGTGAAACACATTAAATGGGGAAAGCAAAGCGAATTTAGTAATTTACAGTGATTTGATAAGTCAACTGAAGTGCAAATGAAACCAACAAGATTGTGTTCATACTGATGTGGATATTTCGGTGCTTTCCCAGATGGACTCATTGGTTGGGATAAAATAATTGGAGTGGAATGTACTCTACATTGAATAAACATTGAGAAATATTATTTTTATATGTTGGAGCACAATTTATGTTTCAATGAAAAAAGTTGTAAAAAAAGATCCTGGGAAAATATTACCCAAATTCTCAATATGTATATAGAATATGTGAGATCATTATTTCTTCGAAATAATATATTAATATATCCAAATTTATCAATAGTTTCCGTGCTATCACGGGTTGAAACGTGAGATCTGGTTGATTCTTTGTTTGTACAAATTTCGACTTTCGAGGATTGCCATAGGTGATTAGCGGAAAAACGTATACATAACTTAACCTTATTATTACAGACCTGAGAGACTCTTTTATGAAATTATCAAAAAATGTGTCAATCCTACCTATTTGATTGAACAAGTTATCAAATTTGACGGGGGCACCTATACAAATCAATTTGAAATAAATTGATTTAAAGACAACGAAGATATCTGAACCCTCTGAAACTTTCAAAATACTTTATGTAATGAAGGTATGATATATCTATGTTATGAATTGTATTCTGTTATGCAATATTACTCTGGACTAATGTTACTGAAGGAAAAATAATTAGAACATGAGTACTTGTTTTCTAAATATGCAGAACTAATGATTGAACAGTTTGTCGCTATTTTGTTGCTAGTCAGTTGCGAACAAAAAATCTTTTTTTTTTGTTCAAAAAGTTACATGGTGCCTCACTATCTTGACGTCAAACCACTTTTCGACTATGAAGTTTTCCACCATGAGTTTGCTCTTATTATTTGCTAGTAAATTTAAAAAAAAAAAGAAATCTTAAAAAAATACATGCTGTTTTGCTAACTCAACGTCAAGTTAGCGGTGCAACTTTTTCTATTAAAATTTTCAGAACTCTCAAGTTTGCACTAATTATTCGCTAGTTGGCCGCGGATAAATTTTTTTGTTTGAGGAAATACGAGTTGTATCGCTAACTTGACGTCAAGTTACTGATGCAACTTTTTATTATTGAGTTTTCCAGAACTTTCTCAAATACGATTAGTTTGCTCTAATAATTCTTTAATTATTTACGAAGAGAAACATTTCATTTGTTTTTGTTCAACAACTGTTAACATCTTTTATTTTTCTAAATAAAAAGAGAATAATTAGAGCAATCTAATGGTTTTCTCAAAGTTATAGGAAACTCAGTAATAAAAAAGTCAAACCGCTAATTGACGTCAAGTTAGCGGGACAATATGTATATTTTTAAGGAAAAAATAAAGAAATGAAAAAATTATCTATCCTAACTTGGCGTCAAGTTGTTTAATATTGCGAAGAATGAAAGATGAAACATGTATTCATTTTATACAAAAAGCTACAGAAGACAAAATAGGATACAGAGCAATTCGTGAATAATTAATCGGGGCTGTTAATAGCTGCTTTCAGTTTTCCCTGAAATATATTTATTTCATGCCTCCACGTTTATTGACAATACCTACCTATTCATCAAAGTTTTGATGAGGTGAAATAAATAATTTTTTATAATTCTTGTAGAAGCACCCAAAAATCATACCTGAATTAAGTACTTTTCAATGAATTAAATTAATCACTTTTGGAGGGTGAAATGGTTTTTTTAAATACGATTTGCCAACCAATTGAAGGTAATGGACCTTCAATGATATGAAGATTTCAATAATATCAGTCTTTATTGGAACATGACACAGATAAATGTTCAACAAATATCTACAAAAATGACTTTTCAATATAATACTCTGGTGGAAAAGAGCCCTCTATTGAATGCAAATCCTAATGCTAATGTGGTAGCACTGAGAGTCAAAATTAGTATGGCCACATAAGAAACTTCTTCATCACTGGTTTTCACTTTTTCTTCCACTCTCAGATACTTCGGTCCACGAGGAAGATTTCGAAAATACTTGGCATCAATTCTTTTCACTAGATTCTTCAAGTTTGGCCACATAGTGAGAATAGTCAAAATATCATTGGACGGGAAAGGAAGTTTCATAAACGGCGATACATATGAATAAACGATAATATCTAAACTTGTCGGATCGGTACCGTGAAAGTAATCAGAATTTCCCAATCTTGTAGACAAACTTGACAAACACTCGAGGGCTGCTCGTTGCAGAAATTCCTTGATAACATCCAAATTAGTCTCAGTTGGGTACAAACTTTCTATTAGAGCCAGCGACTTTTCTTTGAACCTCCTAGTATGCAAGTAATTGAAGGGAAACGGGAGAGCTTTCATAAACCACACACTAGTAAATTCCTCCGAGTTTCTTTGATCCACCCAGTAATAGAACTCCAACACAGGTTTCAGTTTCGAGAGCACTAAATTCGTTATCGCAAGAGTTTCACTGCACTGCTTCGCTGTCAGATTTCCGTCTAGGTTATAATTCAATGTTCGCAGATACAACACACTTTCGTTGAATGATTTGAACTGTAAATTCTTATGAACGAAACTCGGGGCACTGTAAAATGTACATTGTTTCACGCTGTCAAGCAGACGAACCTGAACTGGGACCCCCGCTATCGTCGTATACACTATCGATTTTAGACATTCTATGTCGACCGACGGCAACGAGAAATCACCATCGTAAACTACTAACTGAAATTTATCTTGAACACTCATTTTTACGTGGAATTTTTTCGATTATTGCAGTGTTTTCACATGAAAATGTTGTGAGACAATCTCGCCATTAGTTGAGGTTACCGTAACTACATGACACAAAAGAATGTCAAATTGGAGAATGCGAGAAACTGCCGGTAAAATAGGACGCAAGCGTCAGTGGCGGAGCAGCGTTCCGAATCGAGGAATAATTCATTCTGGTGAAATAACCGGATTACTAGTTTTGTTGCCAACTCTCGTAGCAAAAAAGACCAGGAGTGTTTTTAAATTTACGATCATTCATTCAATGAACCAAATTCAATACGGATTTGAATCAGAATCCAGGTATTTTTTGTCAGTTTGAAGGTTGATTGACAATGTTTCATGATGAATTTCAGTGGTTCAAACTTCCATTGTCTACTATATAAAATGATTTGAAATCCCTGAAACAACTAAAAAAGAAGAATTGANGAAATCAATTTCGTTCACACCAATTTCTGTGGAATCTTGAATTGTTGCCAAAAAAATTATTCATTCGGCTTTACCGACAGTTCTCAATTTCTTCCTAGAAAATGGGTTTTTGTGGTTAACAATTCAGGACAGACGGTTTGTGAAGAAAAGTTTCAGAATAGTCTTCTGAGCTGGAAATGTAGTTTTGTGGTTAACGAATCAACATGGACAAGTGAGCTTGATCCTTTTTTTATGGTAAAGTTATGTGTTTGGGATAGTCGGCTGAGCTCAGGGCATAATTTCGTGATTGATAAAGGCAGGCTTGTAAATAATTCAGAACTGGGTTGAGATAGAGTTATTTTTTTGGCAACAAATCCTCTTTGAGAAATTTTAATTTCGCTTTTTCGGCAATTTTTTCGTTAATTTACTTCTTATTTCACTGAAGATAAAAACAATCAAAAGTCACTGGAACCATTTCTGATTTAAATAGAGAAGACGAAGAAAAAATTGATTTAATTTTTTTGGGAAAAATAATTGTAAAGGAAATGTTTGCCAAGTATTAGAAAGTCGGGCAGTTGACTCTAATATATTTTCAACTCTGAAGCGTTTTCGTCATATTCTGGTTATTTGTTTCCAACCACACTATAAACAATATTTCATTGTACTTAATGATGGTTTGAAAGAAGTTCCAAAGATAGCTCTGAAAACATTCTCAATTGGTCCTCGTTCGGTCGTAGTATTTACACATGAGAAATCATTATCTACAATTCCTAGGCTCTTCAACTTCTTTGGTCTTCAACTTCTACGCTCTTCGACTTCCATACTCTTTAACTTCTATGCTTTTCAACTTCTTTGTAGTGCTTGTTATTCTATGGCCGTTCTCCAAGGTGTCTTTAGCAACACTATTCTGTACTTGTTATGTACTGTTTGGAACCTTTGGTGTAGTAATGAATATTGCTGGAGTTTTTCTCGACACAAAACCGTTATTTCAACACTTCGACACATGTTTTGATCACCAAGTGATCATCTTCAAGAGGAAAATTAAACTAAATATACTCACAATGTTATCCTTATCTATACCATAG